ACACATAGACATCCACAAGTTTAAACATAAAAAATACACATAAATACAAGTTGAAGATCAATCTAAATACATTAAAAACACATAACTATGAGTTTTACATCAATCAACGTACATCAAAAATAAAATAAAGTATAATACATAAACAAAATATAGTTTTAGATAAATACAAACACATTAAAAAACTTTATAACATTACCATGTGTTTTTATTCAAAGAAATATAAATAGATGTTGAACAAACTAAAATTTGTTATAAAAATTATTCATTTTCATGTGGTTTTATTTAATTTAACCAGTTCAACCGGTTTAATTTAACAGGTTCAAGCGGATTTTTGTAAAAACTGGTAGGTTCATTCCGATTAAAAAATAAACATAAAACCGGTGCTAGTTGAACCGCTCACTTCTCTGATTCTCAGTCCAACCGGTTCGACCAGCCGGTTCAAATCAGTTTTTCAAACACAGCTTTAACATCACCACCACCCACATATTTTTGTAAATTCCACTAATAATAATAATAATTAATAGTAAAATACAATCATAATTTAACTTATGTTGCCTTACAAATTATATTTCAAATAATCATTATTGAAGTTTAAAAAAAATCAAATAAATAAATTTTAAATTAATTAAACATAACATTTTTTTAAATAACACTAAATCAAAAAGTATTTTAAATAATATATGTTATTAAGTGATGTAATTATATATACATATTAAACTTGGACAATGCTAAGGAATAGTGTCCTCATGCTAATTTGTTATAATATATATTTATATCATCAAAATTGTTCGAAATAATTTTTGGTAGGAAAGTAAGAAATTTTTTTTTCTATATATTTTTTTGACGAACAAAATAAATGAATCACTAGATGATTCATTTGTAAGATGATTCACAAGAAAAAAATTCCCAAAAAAACATCTTTATGATTCATTTTTAAGTAAATTAAGAAAAAATTCATTTTTATGACAATTTTAGTGAATAACAACAAAATCATTGTATAAATGAATCATCGAGATGTTTTTTTGAGAATTTTTTCTTGTGAATCATCTTACAAATGAATCATCTAATGATTCATTTTGTTTGTTCGCGAAAAAAATATGTAGAAAAAAAACTTCTTACCTTGCTACCAAAAATTTCCTTCTTATTTGATCTTGACTCTAGTGTCCTCATGCTAATTTGTTATAATATATATTTATATCATCAAAATTGTTCGAAATAATTTTAGTTTCATATATCAATTAGAGTAAAATTTTATTTTGGGATAATGACTTAAAATGGTAATATATTTTTCGTTTTGTACATATTTGGTCACTGAGTTTTTTTTTTCGTTCACATTTACCCTTCAACTTGTTAAACTGTACACATTCAGTCATTATGACCGGCTACTCTAGGTTAGCCGGTAAAAATGACTTAATAGGGTAATATATTTCTCACTTGGTACACATTTAGTCATTAATATTTTTGTACACATTTAGTCCTTAATATTTTTTTAGTTGCAAAATAAGTCATTTTTGTTTTTATACTTATTCAGTACTTACTTATGAATAATTTCTTTAAGTTTTTCTCATTACATCTTACATGAGACAATCATTAATGAGGTGTTTGGGGCTTTTGATGCTTATGTCCATTACCATATCGACTACTTGGTTGCTTAGGTCATGTGTTCTGAACGTTATAACTTCTTCATACGATCTCGGATTTTATCGATCTTTATATCCATGCGTTCGTATTTTAGTCTATTATATTTTTACTTACGATATTTATATCTATACGTTTTTTTATGAATGCATGTGTGGATGTTTTTTTTAATAAAATCGTAAGTAAAAATATATTATATTTTAACGGAAGTAGCTTAACGAAAGTTGTAGTAGACTCAAAAAACGAACACATGGATATAAAGATCGTTAAAATATGATATCGTATGAAGAAGTTACGATGTTCAGGACACAAAACCTAAGTCAAAGCACAAGACCTACGCAACCAAACAGTCGAGATCGCGATGAACATAAGCATCAACAACCCCAAACAACGCATCAATGATTCTCCCATGTAAAACGTCGTGAGAAAACCTAAAGAAATCATTCATAAGTAATGAATGAGTACAAAAACAAAAAGGACTGATTTTGAAACAAAAAAAATATTAAGGACTAAATATGTACACAAATATTAAGGACTTAATGTGTACAAAATGAGAAATATATTATCCTATTAAGTCATTTTTCCCGGCTAACCTGGAGTAACCGGTCATAAAGATTGAATATATACAGTTTAACAAGTTGAAGGGGTAAATGTGGACGAAAAAAATAAACTCAGTGACCAAATGTGTACAAATCGAAAAATATATTACTATTTCAAGTCATTATCCATTTTATTTTATATCTAAAGTCAATGACATAGTTTTGTCATTGATATATCAAAGTTTTAACTACCTAATTTTAATCTCAAAATACATGGATATTCTTCTCGTTTATAATATAAATGGTATAATAAATTAAACAAAATTAATGCAATTAACATTTTTGTATATGGATCGATAACTAAAATAACTAAAAAAATGAAGATCTCATGAAAAAGCCAGTATTAATTTCATGACTATAGAATATTATAGCTCCAATGTAAAGTTACATGTCTTCTATTTGTAATTTAAAAAGAATATATTACCTTAATTTCTAGTTGTGTAAAGTTATTTTTTTTTAAACTAAAAAAGCCAAAACAAAATTAAAAAAAAAGAAAATTGGGTTAGAGATCCACATAATTGGATAGCCTTAACCGGATGTGTGGTAATTGGATAGCCTTAACCGGATGTGTGGCAATTGGTAAGCCCGAAGGCCGTTCCCGTCCCTGTCAGGGGAGATGCCAACCATCTCTCCTTCTTACGAACACGTTTTTTCTCTCCAATCTTCCTTTAATAAACACCTCCACTTCTTATTCATCTTCCGATGTGGGATGCTTCCAAAATTCTATTTTTCTTTCTTCTTTCTCATTACTTATCCATAAGATTAAGTTTCATTATTGACAACAGATAAAAACCTACAACAAAACAAAATATAAGAGAATCTGCGTCTCACGATATCATAGTTTTATTTGAATAGTAAAATTAAATATTATACATTTTTAGGGTAAAAAATATAATACTGAACATTTTTACTATTTTGTGGTTTTAACCGTTTCGTTAATAAAGGACATACAAGTTTGACAATTTTTTTAGGAAAAGCTTTAGAAAAACTCAATATATTTTCATCAAATTTTAAAATAACCACTATATTATTTTTTAGTACATTAAACTCTTACTTTTTAAAACTATATTTTTTTTTAGCACAAGTGCTAGGTAATCGACTATCAAGTGTTTGTTGGTTACAATTGATTAGATTAAAAAGTTTTATAAAATATATGTGTTTTAATGCACTATAAAAATAATATAATGGTTTTTTAATGCTTTGATGAAAATAGATTGAGTTTTTCTAAAATAAAAAAAGTCTTAGATAAGAATTCATAGAATATAAAGGTTTTAATGCGTTAAAAAATATAGTGGTTTTTTAAAAATTAAATGAAAAAATGTTGAGTCTTTTTTTTTATGGTGATAATTTTGATGGTTAAAATGGATAAAATAGAATATTTTGTCTAATTTAGTAGTTCTAGTGAAAATTTTAACCAAATTTTTTTTTTTTTGTAACAAATTTAACCTGCAATATAACAGGTCAAAGTGGTGTGCATAGAAAAAATTATTAAATTTGGATGATTTTTAATGACGAAACTAAAGTAGTGTTTTAAACCACAAAAATTACCAAAATATACTGAAATTTATATTTTTTGTCCATCATTTTTATGATAAGTTTGATCTTGATTTTGATTACTCGATGAATCTTTCTTATATAAAAATGACTAAAACTTGATTCAAAAGTTCAAATAGTTGGAAAAAATATATACAAAATATACTCGATGAAGCAAATTCGATCCAAGATCTTGAAAATACTATTAGAATTTTGTTTGATAAAAAACAAATTTGAAAAACTTGATAATCAAATTCGTGTTTGTTCCATTAGCTTGTGTCTCTAAATAAAACAATTACAGAAAGGAAGATGTATTGTTGTCATACTTGACGTAAAATATTCTCTAAAGTCTACTTCCTCGAAACATTATTTAATCCAAATGCATGCAAAAGAATATCATTAAGGTAAAAAAAGACTTGGAAATTAATAAGTCGACATGGACAAACAAATACCAACTTAATTTTGGACTCTATATATCCTTCTAGAATTCAAATTTGCCTTTAATTAGTCAACTATGTCATCTTTCCAGAATCCAAACTACAAAAATAATATTTCTTTTCAACAAGAAAATCAAGCATCAACAGTGACCCTGACAAAAAAAAAGTAACGAAATACCCAAAATACCCTTGTGAGGTTATCCTTTTTTTCTTTAAACTATGGGATCAATGTGGTTATTCATTACCACCCTAAAGGAACACTAAATAACTATTTTACCCTTATCTCTAGATAAGTTTGGAATGAAAACTAACTATTTTTAAAGGAAATTCTAAATTACATTAAAAAAATAAATATAATAAATATTTTAATAAAAAAAATACTTGATATAACATGTACAAATCAAGAATAAACAATGTTAACTAATAACAATCAAGAACCAGAGAGTTGTTATAAAAGTATGGATGTAAAGAATTAGGAGACAAGTTGCCAAGGGTAAAAATGGGTTAATAGAAAAAAAATAATAATAATAACCCCATAACTTATCAAATTAAGACATGGTTTTTCCTATTAAGTCCATTGAGTCAACACAAAACGACACCTAAATAAAAGAGAGCCTAAAGTTGTCATTTCATGGAGGGCAAAATTGTCAAAAGTAACGACGACGACTTTACAGTACAAATGAAGTGTACGCCATAAGTTGAAATCTTCACAAAAAGACAGGGCCTACAACTTACAACTTACAAGGGCAATAATGTAATATACTAACAAAAAAAGAATAGCAATAAATAGTAATCAGCTTGCACCAATAATTTGAGAAACAAATGTTGCAATTGCTTGAACAGCAAGTCTTTCTACTTCTTCATGAGTGATTCCCGCCATTTCAAGATTCTTTTTTCCAATTTTGAAAGAGTGATCGCCATTTTCAACCACATAAACCGTATTCAAAGCTTTCATCTTCTTTCTAACAACTTCTAATGATGCCAATGGACATAGCCCATCTTTGGTACCCTTCAAAGAAAAAGCATTGATAAAAAGTTGAAGTGACAAAAATACCCTTTCTTAGTTAAATCCTAACTTTTACAAATTTGCCCTTATTTATTATGAATCGACACTCACTAGTCACCTGTACAAACATGGTAGGAATTGAAAGTTGCATTAGGGGTTCATCTCGAATGGCTCCTTTTGTGCCCTGCAAAATAATATATTTAACAAATTTATTATCACAAGACAAAACTGTGTACTGCGTACTGTGTACTATGTATACTGTGTATTGATGTCAACAGGACAAATCTTTCTCCCACTCTAAAAATGTAAAACAAGATGTAACAGAGGCTTGTTCCTGATTTATTGTTAGAGGAAAAGACGTAAATGCCCTCATATTTACCTTTAAAGGGTACCCAAGGCAAACCACAGCAGAAGCCTTGATATCAGTCTCAGCAGCCACCATACAACTCACTCTGCATGTAACAATGAAGCCTTTTAGTTTTGTTTGATGTTGTGATTTCAAAAAAAAAAAAAAAAAATCCTCAAGATTTTATTGGTTTATTAAGTTTGATCTTTTATGCGAATCTATTGAAATACTGAATTTCCTTGAACTGCATATCAGCTTCGTTGAATAACTTTTACCTTGAACCCATGGATTTTCCGATCAAAATAAGAGGATGTTTTGGGTATTTGGCAGCAGTCTTTTTGACAACATCTGTGTGAAATTCAACTAGCTTTTCTGCTTTGGGAGGAGGCTTTCTTCCAGCAATGTCTGAGAATAGCTATTTTTAGACAACCTCATAATTTCATAAGCATTCAAAGTTGTAAAAAGCCCTAAATGAATTTGATTTATGAGGAAACTCACATGGATAATCGAAAGTTAAAACTTCGATAGCTTTTAGTGCATCAGCCAATAAGTTCTTCCATCTGCATAAAACCAAACATCTGATTATTGTAGCCTGCATAAACAATTTTCCCTCGTTAGGGTTTGTGGCATTCTAATTTGTTCCTAATCGGATTGAATCTTATACTAATTTGTTCCTAATAAGACTCAGATTTTAAACCGAAAATTGGCAATGATGTGAGAATGCATCAAAAACTAACACACAATCAACAACAATAGAAGATTTGATAGCTCTTATTCAACCTATATTCACGAAGGATAACATGAATGTGCATAGAGAGAGAGAGAGAGAGAGAGAGAGAGAGTTAAAAATTGTAACCTAATCATCCACTCAGAAGATGAAGGAGCACCAGCGCCGTGAGCGAAGACGACCACCGGCGAATTATAATTATTTAACTTCACCGACGAACTCCGAGCTCTTGTGATCCTTGAAGAACAATTTTGTACTACTGGTTTGTTTTCACTCTCCGTCGTTCGCCGGCGTTTTGGAGCCATTTTCCAGATTGAATTACGCGAAACTCAGGCGTGTGTACTTATTCGCGCCAAATGACATCGGCCGGGTCGACAGCAAGAGAGAAGGCTTGTATGGGCTTACAATGAGAGTTTGTTTAGCCCAATTGAAAGCTCGAGGTTTTTAATTTAACTTACATGTCCACATTATCAAAATGGGTCAAAACTCTCGTTTTAAGGCCCTAGATTAACCCTTATTTACAAAATGTCAATTTTAGCTAGACAAAATTACAAAAATGGTCCATGTGGTTGGTAAATTTATATGTTTTTGGTCCAAAACAAAATGTTGGTGCACCACTGGTCCAAAATTGGATCTTTCTATCATTTTTGGTCCTTATGGTTGGCATTATTGTATGGTTTTAGTCCATACCCTACCTGAAATGACAAAAATGCCCTTAATTAATTCTTTTTTTTTAATTTCTTTCTATTAATTTCTTATTATTTCAATTAAAAACCAAGAAAAAAATGCAAATTACCCAACCCACCCCTCCTAATTTCTTTTTAATATTTGGAACCACCACCACCAACGGACCGCCCTCCTCCTCATCGGAACACCATCGTTCTCCTTTGACACCTAATATAATACCTTTACAGGAACCTCCATAAACCACCCTTATACCGCTACCAACAGCCACCTACATCATGTACAACCACCTACACAACACCAGCCGAACAACCCCCAACAGCCTCCACTTATTTTGAACATTTTATTCCAGCCATCTATATCATCACCACCAATATGAACCCTAATGTAAAGACGATTTATTCAAGTATATGGTGTGTAGGTTTGTGTACCCTAGATTTGGCGAATGCATGGGTGAATCGGCAACCTGAAAATGTTTCCAAGTCCATAACCTTCCCTTTCCAAGATCTAGAAATCGAAAATTGTTATAAAAATCATATCATCTGTCAAAATCAGAGGAAGGGAGAAGTATGGAGGGACTGTAGGTGGGTCAATCAACGTTTGGATGAACACAATTTTCTAATGGAGAACCATATGAGAGGTGATGGTTTTTTATAGCAATACAGGTGGTGGTAATTGATGATAGTTGTCGCCCCTCTGCACCACCGGCGTTCATCTCCATTAACTTTGTTTATGCACAGATCTGGTAGTGGTAACAACATAAGAGACAGAAAAGAGAGACGGAGAACTTCTCAATCAAGATTTGTATCTCGAATTAGATGAACTCTGGTGGGTGGCGATGTTGAAGGTTGACGGCGAGAATGGAGGTTGTGGAAGACCATATTTGTAGCAGAGAAGTGGTGGCGGTGTTGAACCGGATACCGCCCATCGAGATCGTTTTTCCGACGATTATGGTTGTCGACTACGAAAAGGGAGGTGGCAGCATCTGGCGGCGGGCGACGATAGTGACTTCCCAGTGTGGAGGCTGAAAACAAATTGCCAAAATCACTTTTAGGTTTTAGTGGTGGTGGGTTTTTTTTTTTTTTTTTGAAAAAAGTAGATAATATAAAAATGGAAAAACAAAATATAAGGGCATAATGGTTTTTTAAGTAGATAAGGACCAAAAACGATACAAAGATCCAATTTTGAACCAGTGGTGCACCAACGTTTCGTTTCGGACAAAAAACACATAAATTTGCCAACCATAGGAACCATTTTTACAATTTTGTCTTTTAACTACTTGTAAGTCAACTAAACTCAAAATTACTATACATTATCCATAGTTACATATACAGAGCTACTTGTGAATGAGTCATTAAAAGGTTGATTTGAGTTTGAGTTGGCTCAGGTTTACTTTGGGGCACAACGAGTTCGAGCTCAGTGAGCTAAGCTCAATTAGGCTCATAAGCCAAACTGGCTTGAACTTAAACAAATATAAACAAACCCCGAGCCTAAACTAGTCTCAATAATATAATAATATATATTTTTTTTGATATCACTATCTTATATAAACGTGCTTAATAAATTTGTTTTTAATTGCAAGGTATATAACTTAATCATCACTTAAACCATATAAACTAAAATATGTTAAATATGCCTAAAATCATTAGTTGCTTGAAGGCCACGAATATCATTAGATTGTTTCTAATAAAGAGTAGCAAATAATTTATTATTGTAGTAGTGGAACAATTTGATGTAAAATGATGTGGAACTAATTAATGCATAATTTGGTCTAATTGCAGTGATTTTGATGATCAAATGCCGGGGAGTTAATCTTCATGGGAAAAGGATATATAAAAGAACGTAGGATGAGCATATCTAATCATCCCACATCGCTTGGTGGTTAAAATAGGAATAAAGATTAGCATGTATAAAAGTGAGACAATAGATTACTTTGCAACGCTTATTTCAGTAGCATCCCACATTACTGAAAGTTCAAATGGAAAAACCCTAGGTTGCTGGGTGTCGACGGAAAGAGGGGAGAGTCATACTTTGAACAGGTTACATACCTCACTACCTTTCATGCTTTGGTTATTTATAAATCACTTGTTGTGGGTTTCATACCTCACTACCTTTCATGCTTTGGTTATTTATAAATCACTTGTTGTTGGATGAGGAAGATGAAATAGAATTCATGCTTTGGTTATTTATAAATCACTTGTTGTGGGATGAGGAAGATGAAATAGAAAGGAGATAGTAAATGGTAATGATATAACAAGTAGGTTGGGATAGATGAAAGTATGGATACATTTCACCGACATAGAAGTTAATACTTAGTCGAGCTCAAGCTTGTTTAGGCTTGCAAGATAAACAATTTGAGTTCGGGCTTTATAAATGTTTGAAGTTGAAAGAACAAAAAAGTTGTTGAAAAAAAACGAAAAAGAATGGAAAGATGATGGATGCTCGATTATGACGGATGCTTGGTCCGATCGAAAGAGGAGAAGCATTATGAATTTATGTGTTAATTCGAAGATGGGTACCGTTTTTTATCTTCAAAAGAATGTTCCAGTGAAGAACATACAAGCCAACACATATATGAGTATGTGGAATCTTGTATTCAACAAGTTGATCCCGAGAATGTTGTTCAAGTTGTGACTGATAATGCCACGAATAACATGGGGGCGGCGAAGTTGCTAAAAGAGAAAAGACCATCTATTTTTTGGACATCATGTGCGACACATACCATTAACCTTATGCTTGAAGGTATTTACATTATTTTATTTATTTATTTTATTGTATTTATTATTTTATTTATTTAGTACTTTATTTAGTTTAAAAATGTTTAATTATATACTATAATTTGTTATTTAATCGTGTTTATTTTTCAATGTATCAGAACACTCCCAAGGTTTAAGAAAATCCTAGATCAAGCAAAGAAACTAACCATATTCATTTACGCTCACCACAAAACATTGGCGATGTTGAGAAGTTACACCAACAAAAGGGAGATTATCCGACCGGAAGTCACGTGAATTGCTTCCACCTTTCTAACATTACAAAGTTTTTCCGAAAAAAAGGAGCAACTAAGACATATGTTCTCTAGCAACGAATGGGAGAAATGTAAATTTTCCGGTTAGCCTAAAGGGATTGCCTCATATAAAACAATGATAAGTGTCCTATTTTGGTCTGGTGTGACACAATGTTTAAAAGTGTTCTCCCCTTTGGTGAAAGTCCTTCGAATGATTGATGCGGATTAGAAGCCCTCAATGGGTTTTGTTTACGGGGAGATTAAAGTTGCAAAAGAAGAAATTATCAAATCTTTGGGTGGTAACGAGAAACACTACAAGCCTATTATAGATATCATAAACACAAAGATGAAAGGTCGGCTACATTCAACTTTACATTTAACATCTTATCTTTTGAATCCGTATTACCATTTATAATGATGCACAACTCCAATTTGATCCCGATGTAATGGATGCAGTTCTTGATTTTTTTGATACATTATTTCTTGGAGATTTAGAGATGCAAAGGCAAGTCGTAACTATTGACTCGCCAAAGTACAAGAAAAAAGTTGATATATTTGGTTCTGATCTTGCAATTAAACATTGTAAGGTGAATGATGCCGACTTTGATCCCGGTAATTCGTTTTCCTTTTAGTTATCTATTTATCTATTTTATAAAATTTTGATATTTATCGATTAATAATTTGTTTTTGTTTCAAAATCACAGCTAGTTGGTGGGACTATTTGGTGGCACAACTCCTCGTTTGACAAAGATTGTAATGAGGGTTCTTTCTTTAACTAGTAGTTTATCGGGTTGTGAAAGGAATTAGAGCACGTTTGAAGGGGTTAGTAATCTGAAGCATTAAATTTATATTTTATAAAATTTAAATATTAAGCATGTTTAAACTCTTTGTTGTCTTTAAATTTATAGGTACATACAAAGAAACGAAATAGATTGGAGATAAGCAAATTGAACAATCTTGTTTATGTTCAATTCAATGTTAATTTAATGGGAAAAAAAAAAAGAGAAAAGATAGAAACATGGAAGTGCTATTATCAAATCATTCTCTCTCTGCTCAAGAATGGATTGTTGATTGCGACGATTGTGATGTAGATGAAGTAGACCCCAAAACTATTGATGAAGCTCTTGCAACCGATGTTAGTCAAGCACCCCGAGAAAGTCCAAAAACGAGGGAACTTTTCGATGAAGATTTCGAGTCCGAGAGTGAGGAGCAAGTGTTAGAAGAAGACGAATATGAGTCGGATAAGGTTTAAATAATGGAAGTATGTGTAGAATATTAGAAGAAAATTGTTGTGCTTGTTAAACTTATTATTAAACTTTTATGGACTTGTTGGATGATGATTTTGTGTGTTTGTTAAACTTATTATTAAACTTTTATGTTTATTTTGGATGATAAATGGTTGTACTTGTTAAACTTATTAAGTTATTATTAAACTTTTATGCTTATTTACTTATATTCTTAGTATTAAAGTTAGATTTATAAATTTTTGAATTATTTTTTTAATAATTACTAGTCCCCGATTAATTCCTAGACCCCAATCCACCGCCTAGCTAACGTGTAGCGTTTTCTGCAACCTTGATATATATATATATATATATATATATATATATATATATATATATATATATATATATATATATATATATCAAGGTTGCAGAAAACGCTACACGTTAGCTAGGCGGTGGATTGGGGTCTAGGAATTAATCGGGGACTATTATATGAGTAGGATCAAATGAGAACACCTAAAAGGTTGAGAATGTGAGAACAAATTTGGATCATTTAAATATTTAAATCCAATGTTATTATTAAAGGGGCGATTTATGAAAAATTCTAAAACTGTTGGGATTAAAGTGTAACATTTAAATTGTCAGAAGGACATAATAGGAATTGCAAGTTTACCTATTTCCTATAATCTCTCACTCTCTCACCTCTTTCCTTTCATCTTCTCGTATCTATATTCCCCCCTCTCTAGGGTTTCATAATAATGTCGTCTCCTTCTTAAAATCCTCCTTCTCACATTTCACAGTTGTCGACTCCACTCGTCCTATACACGCCTCCGAAGACGGGTTCCCCTGTTCGCTACTTCGTCGGTGATCCCATTGATTTCTACTCACCGGCGCAACCTCGCCTTCACTCCGGTGCAACAAGGCATCGACGACTTAGGTAACCGGTTCCCTTGTTCGCTAGTTCGTCGGTGATCTCATTGATTTCTACTCATCGGCGCAACCTTGCCTCCACTCCGGCTCAACAAGGTAGCGATGACTCAGGTAAGTTTCGATTCCTTTGCCATTGTTTGAATGCAATGTCTTTGTTAATTTTTTTTGAAACTGATTTCATAGTTATGTAAAATCTGTTCTTTGTTGATTTCATACACAGTCGATGCATTTGTTGATTTCATTCAAAGTCGGTTTCTTTTCTTAAGTAATCTGATTCCATACACAGTCGATGTCTTTGCTGATTTCATTACAAAAATTCAAATCATTTTGAACTTTTTTTTAACTGTTATGCACTGGAATTATATGGAGTAAATTTTTATTAAGGTTTACTTGTATTGGGTAAAATTATAAGTTCAAATAAATTTTATGGATGCACTATAAAAGATAAAATCATCATTTTATTAATTGTCCATGATTAGAACTATGTGTTTTAGATACAAAGATCAAGAGGTAAGCTTTGTGAAACATCCCAAAAATACAACCCAAAAATTTCGTTTTCAAAATCATTTAACAAACATGAATATCATCGCCATAGTATAAGATCATAAAACATGTATCTCAAAATCTCATAAAATCTGTCATCATAACACAATCTCATATAAATTATCAGAATAAACTCCCAGGCTAAGAAAACTGTGGTGTGTGCCATGCCATCATCCCGAGCCCTTTCCCTTGCTAGCTGAAGTACCTGAAACCAAAACTGAAACTGTAAGCACGAAGCTTAGTGAGCTCCCCCAAACTACCACATACCATACAATAACACATATAACAAATACTGGGCCTCGCCCACTGCATCGGGCCCCGCCCGGCATCGGACCGAAGTCCGGCATAAATTGGGCCCCGCCCACTTTATCGGCCCCCGCCCGGCATCGGACCGAAGTCCGGAATAAACTGAACATAACATAAGCATGAACATATAACATAATCACATATACTGCATCGGGCTTGCCCGACATCAGACCGGAGTCCGGAACATATACACATAACATAAACATGCATGAATCACGCATACATCAAGCATACATAACTACTTCTCGGGACCACCCCGACATCGGACCGAAGTCTGGAACTACTATCATCTAAACGGGCCGGCATTGTGGTCGTAGACCCGTTCCTACTGGAAGGAAACTCACCTCGTATGGCTGACTGCTAAAAAACTGGGTGAGAAATCTCTGTCTGCTGCTCCGACGACTCTCCGGCTATCAATTTCAATAAAGGTACTTAGTCAAAACTGATAATTACTCCTAGGGTAAAATGGCTAAAGTCAACATCCTGGTCAAAGTCAACACCCAGTTGACCTCACTCGCCGAGTTGGTTCACCGACTCGTCGAGTCCCTACTCTTTCATCTGTTCCCAACTCCGACTCTACTCGTCGAGTCTAGCAAGAACTCGACGAGTTCTCCTTCAATCATAACATCGGGACCATATTCATATGGCTCGCCGAGTTCTTCCTTGAACTCGTCGAGTCCATCTTAATCATATGAGTGTGACAAGTCTGTGACTCGCCGAGTTGTATGAACAACTCGTCGAGTCCGTCTTCAAAGGTTGGGAGATTTCCTTGGACTCACCGAGTTTGCTCAACCACTCGTCGAGTCCCATGATTCCCAGGTCCCTTAAGGGCCTAAACAACTGAGGGACCTTCCACACTATCATCTGGTCCATCGACAAAAAGGATTTGGTGGTCATTACACCCTGGCTCGCCGAGTCCCAAGAACGACTCGCCGAGTCCATCTTTGACCATTACTATACAGTCGATATAAATGGGTTTTAACACACCAAAATCATAGATCTGGCCCCCTTATGTCCATTTTACACGTAAAGTTCCTAACTTGGTGCGCATGCACGGGATCCTTGGCTCAAAAGCCATAAAAAGTGGTCTACAAGATGCATGGGGTGTTCATGGCAACAAGGTGGGCACCTTTATGCCATAAAAACCCTCAATAGCCCTAGATCTGAAGCACAAACTCATTCCTTACACTAAATCCCGAATACATCCTCACTAGGGCTTAGAAAATGGAGGAAAATGGACCAAAATCAAGATCTACTCAAAGAATAGATAAGGTTCAGCTTTATGCCTCCAATAACCTGGAAATCTGCCCAAAGCTCTGGATCTTCCTAATTCCCCCTTGATCTCACAAGCCTCCTGCTTCTTTTCAAGCTTCAAACACCCAAAGTAACACCTCAAGGCTCAAAAACACACTAATAACGGCTAGGGTTTCGAGATAATGCTTTCTGGGAGTAATAGGGACGATGGAGGCTGAGATAAGTTGTTTAAATAGGGTGCAAACCCTCAAATTTAGGGTTTCACTCAAACAACACCTACTCGCCGAGTCGGTCTCCCGACTCGTCGAGTAGGCCACTTAAACTTCCCGCGAATCACGACTCTACTCGACGAGTTGGGCCACCAACTCGTCGAGTCCCAGAGGAAATACATGAAGTTCTTGAATTTAAATACGTACCAGGAATCGGGTGTTACACTTTGAGTTTCAATCATTAATGATTATAACATATCGTTAATGATTATAACATTTGTTGTAGGTTTTGGATGCTCTGCAGAAGAGAAAAGCAACAATTTCACCAACAGACAATTTTTGAAGAAACGGAAGCTTGATGTTTCAATTTTGTATTCTTGTATTCTGAATAGCTAATTATCATATTGTAATTTCTTTTATGTTTTGAGTTATTCATTTATGATTACATGTATAGAATAGTTATTTATACTATGTATTGTATTCATTTGTGATTACAACTATATGAGATTTATTTTAGAAATTGTTCTTATTCATTTACAATTACAAATGTATTGATTTTTTTAATTTTATATTATACTTTATTCAATTAAAATTATGATTGTATTCATTAAAAACTATAACATTTTATATTTATGAATGAAAATGTGAGTTAATGTATGAATACATGGTTTTTAATCATTAACTACAATTTTGTCAATATTAATGTACAATTTCAAATTCTAATATAATCATTTATGATTGATAGTTTATTTACCATTGACGTATGATTTATGTGATATATTAGAGAAAAACAAATTGATGTTTTTAAGAAAAAAACATTAATTTTTTTTTAGTTTTAAAATATGTTTTGGTAAAAATGATTTTTATATTCCATTAAAAAAAATCGAATTGAATTTGGTAACCGATCCTAAATTTAAGGGAATTTGATTGAATTTTAATTTATTTTAATTTTAAGAAAATATATAATTACTAATATGCCCTCAAATATTGATTGGTCTAGAACTTTTCTCGCGTTCTCAACCTTTTATGTGTTCTCATTTGATCATTTCCCTATATATATATATATATATATATATATATATATATATATATATATATATATATATATACATACTAGGTTAAAACTCGTGTGCTACACGGGTGATAAATTAACATAACTTAGATTTTAGAAATAAAAATTAAAGAAATAGCAACATAATTTCATTTGTCTAATGTTGAATGCATGATTTTATGAAAACTAAAAAATCAAATAGAAATGTAGTGGATTGTTATTTCTGACTATATAAAAAACCTCATCATACCTATCTATTACCCATGTTTTACTAAAAGTACTAACACATATCAATATAACTACAAAGAGCTCTTTATTAATAAAAAAGACAGAAACCTCTATAAACACTGACAAAAAAAAACATATGGTAAATCAGTGTCAAAGCAAACTCTCATGTGCAAAATAACAATTATGGCATCCATTTCCATCTTAGGGCAAGAACCTATAAAATTAAGTTCTAAATTATTGATAGAATCGTATGCTAGGTGTTGAATATGGAGAAAAAGAGAACCATGAATCTATTGACATAAACCCACCTTGGTATAATTAATTAAAATTAGCAAAAAAAAAACATATGATGCATCCGTATCAGGTTGATTAAAATACATATAAATACTAAGGAGACATGAACACAGTCACATACATATACACTATTCTTCTTGCAGATGGTAGTTATAATAAGCTTCAGTATTTGAATGTTTCTTGTGTTTACTGGTGAGAACTTGAAAATCATGACTATTTGAGAATGAAACTCAGTTGTCCCTGTTTAAAAAAATGAAACTGATTTGTTTCAAAATTAATTTATTTGTGCTTACACACATATCAAAAGGCAATTTTAATAGTATTAGCTAAGCATAAATAATGTCATTTTTGTCCATTTTTAAACATGGAAGGTTTATAAGACAATTTTGATAATAATGAATAAGCACAAAGAATGAAACTCAGCAGCAACAAAGAAAAACTCAAGGCTCAAACTATGTAGCTTCATTTTGTAAAAATAATTTAATTACCATAGAACATTTTCATCACACACACAAAAAAAAAAAAAGAAAAAAAAAAAAAAAAACTAAAAAAATTCACCGCTACAATGTAAGAGAAATTTTTAAGAAATGGTCTATGTACAACATTTTTGTCACAAACAAAAGAATTTTAAAAAATAAATATTTTTACAAAAATAAAAAAGATTAACAACCAAATGATGCCATTTATAGCATTGTACTTAGAAAGTACATTGTTATAATTGGGAGTAATCAAGGAACCTGATGCATTTTAATGTCGAAAAATTAGTTTATTCTATAAAACAATCAAGGAAACCGACACATGAAATGGTTAATAGGAAGTTGGTAGGTTAAGTTAAATTAACCTTGGAAGCCAACATTTTATCTTCATTTTTCAACTAAATGAACATATATATATATATATATATATATATATATATATATATATATATATATATATACACGGGCAACAATTCATGAAAAATATTTAGTAAAAACATTTTTCTTTGAAAGTACAATGCAATTAATTGTCATTTTAGAAAGAAAAAAAAAACTTAAAAAAGCTGGCATCACACCTGACTTGCTAACAATAGACATCAAAAGACAACAACTTCAGGAAGCAAGCCAAGATCACATATTCCCATTCCACTCAAATGATTCCAATTACCTTTTTACCCTTGGGCAATCTGATAGTATTCTACAAGGTCAAAAGAAGGTGTTTCTTGATTACAAAAAGAAAACAAAAAAAGAAATCTTTAGCTTTACCTCATCAAATATGTTTCAACTCAAGTTGAACAGCAACCTTTCTTTGTATTATTATTCCCAGATGAATCAGGGACATTAATGGTGGTTCCTTGACCAGGTAAAGGAGTAGGACCTGATGCTTCTTGAGCTGCTAATGCTTTTTTGCTAACGATATGATATATATTTGTCAAAACAGTTTGAAATGCTTTCTCAACATTATGTGCTTCAAGTGCTGATGTTTCAAGAAATGAAAGCCCTTCTTTTTCAGTGAGAGATTGGCCATCTTGTTCAGCCACTGCTCGGAGATGATTCAGATCAGACTTGTTTTCGTCCATCATTATCACAATGTTGGAGTCTGCGTGGTCTCTTAACTCACACAACCATCTTTGAATGTTATCAAAGGTTTGGCTCTTGGTTATGTCATACACCAGAAGAGCTCCAACTGCACCTCTATAGTATGCACTGGTTATCGCTCTGTACCTTTCTTGCCCTGCTGTGTCCCAAATCTGTGCCTTTACTGTATTTCCATCAACCTGTCTTCATGTCATTTAGTCAAATCTTGGTGAAAAATAAACTCATAACACCCCTACGCATTCTATCAAATACTTGGTGTGCCAAATTGGATTGGACACTTTAGATACTTGAAATTTGGTTTATAGAAAAATAAGGTGTACTGTATATAAGTGGATACTAAATTAACCTTCAGTGTAATCAAGTCGTAGTGTAATAACAAACATTTAATTTCTATTGCAGATGAATAAAAACAATAAAATCATAAGCATATAAAGTATAAAGTATTGTAGAAGCAAAGGTTCAACAAACTTACAAATTGTGTCATGTCCGCAGTGCTCTGCTTAGCATCTCTTGAATCTTACCCGTCTTGCTAATAAAAGCAATTCAATTGTTTTCAAACTAACAAATGATTAAGACATGATTCAAATGTATTCCGATTACTCTGAATAAAGTTGATAGGATTGGGAGACTAAAGATTGAAAGCGAGAGGTAGACAATAACAGGCGTTCTAAGTTACTGAAGTACCATCGACGAGGACAAAAAAAATTACACAAATCCATACGAATTTGAAAGTTTAAGTTATTTGACATAAGAAATCAAAATTTATTTTTTTAAGGTTTAGGTATCAAGTAGAACAAAATGTGGTGTTAACCAAATTATTTTTTTTCAACATAAAAATTTCACAAAATAGATTTCATAAGAAACCTGAAAAGTGTAGCAAACAATAAATCAACTAATTAAAAAATTTGAATATCATACCTTTTATATACATGAAGCTTTGATCAGATCAAAAAGTAGCAAATGTAAGTTTTCAGAAAGTGGAATTTCTCACCTAATCCCTGAAGAAGCTACGAAAACCTTAAGTTAGAAAATGAAATGTAGATATTAAATGTCTTTTACAACAAATATAAATCGGACATATAAACATAAAAGATGATATAACAGTCACCTGAGTTGGACCCAATAGTCGTTCTTCAGACACATCAAAACCCACAAGATGTACTTATTTCTTCTTCCCTGGGTTGTGAGTATCCCCAAATCGGTCTTTTTATCATCTTAAATAAATGAAAAGGAAAAAAATGTTAAAATCAGTATATCACAACAAAATGTCTTTTACACCAGATGCTAATATCCGTCCCCAAATGAGGCCACATATCCATCGAGATCTAGAGGTAAAAAAGGGGAATTTATGGTTAGAGAGATACATAGATCGCCTTTAAGAATCAGACGATGGAAGTGAAGGAAAGGATTCATGGAGGTTTGTTTGAAATTTCAACTTTGAACCCAAAATGCATCAGAACTTCACAATCTTATTCTTAAGATAATAAATGGAGATGATTCAAGGAAAGAAAATTAGAAAAACTTACAAATTTGAGTGTTCCTTCCTTCTATGCATAATAAATTTAGGAGAGTACCGATTTGGTTTGTTTGAGGATTTCAAAAATTGGTTCTTCAATGCATTTAGTTAATAGGATAAATCCATAAAGAAAAAGGAAGATAAATGGTGGCGGTAAAACGGTGGTGGTGGCGATTCACCAAAATCTCAATTCAATCCCTAATCGATGGTGATTGACAAACCAGATAATCAAACTTAGAATATTTTTGAAATCGATGGTGATAACTTATTTGTATTTGAGGGTTGGAACAAATATTCCAAGTTAGGATCATCAAGAACTAAACAATGGAAGAACAACAAATTTTAAATCCACGGGAAGAGTATAATAATCCCAGAAACCACCGTCTTTATCAAGAAGAAAAATCTTAAAAACCTGTATTAGGGTTATGTAGAAAAAAACATGATTTCATAAATTCCTCGTTCTATTGTAAGCTATCAATGATTTCGGAAGAAAGGTAGAGAGAAATCGAAGGTTTCATCCGATCAGATGAAGGATTTGGGTATTTAAAATTCGTTTCCAAAACTAAGAAGGCGAACCAAAGGAGATACAGGCGTGATTTTTGGGATACTATTGATTAGTCATAATATGTTTGACTTTAAGGGCAAATGTGGAATTTCAGTTTGATGTTTTGAGTGGGAAAATTAGCTTGGGAGGGGCTTAGCAATTGCCACATGGCAAAAATCTACTTATTTATTAGATTAGGGGATATATATATATATATATATATATATATATATATATATATATATATATATATATATATATATATATATATATAGTATACTCTTTGATTGAAAAATGACTTATAAGGATAACGAAGTCTCGATATTTTTCCTGTTTAGTCACTTTCCCTTTTTTGTACACCATTTACCATTAAATTTATTATAGATGTTCAAAAAATACCATTATTACCAGGTATTGAAGGTTTCCGATGAATATGCCATTCTGTTCTTCGTCTCCGACGAGTTTCCGACCACCATGAGTTTTATGACCAGTCTCCGGCCAAATGTAGATAAAGATCTGGGTTGGGTTTGTTTCAGAGGCTCAGACATGTTTGTGTGTTCTTCTCCTTTATCTGTTCAACAACACATATTGATGAACTCAACTGATCAAAAACCAGAAATTCGATGAACTCAAACAAGATAAGATTAAAAAAAAATCTGATGAGCTAAAAAAACACCAGCAATCTGATGAACTCGTCTTCATGTGTGAACGATTTTCGGAAACGTTTTGCTTTGCACATAAATCTTCAAAGATACAAACGACATTAGGAACAATTTCAAATCTAATGATGTGAAATCGAAAACTAATGGTTAAAAGGCGATTTGTGTGTGAGAAATCTGATTTAGTAATATTCAAGAAAATTTTCCAAAATTACCAAGAACTAGGACTGATCTAAACCAATTTGAGGCATTAGGCAAAATAAAAAAACAACACCCTTATAATAAATAATTGTAAACGAGGATAGCTTTTTTGTTTTGTTTTTTATATTAAACGAGGCTCTTGTTATAAATTTATCATCGTTTTTGTAATAGTTATAGTTGTACGTTTTTTTTCTTTTCACTTTCTCACTAATGGATAAATGTTTTCAGGGTAACATGTTATTGTTTTAAATTTATAAACTAATGAGAAAAAACAAAAGGAAACGAAAACACCTAGTTATGAACTTGTGATGTTGAATAGTTTTCAGAATTGTTTTCCAACAAGGATAACAATTTTTGAATCTTTTTCTAGACTCCAGCAACAAAGATTTCAAAACTTGTGATGTTAGAGTTCAAGTTATCAACGAAAAATCGGAAAGAAAGCACATAAATTAAATTTTTATCAGAAAACTAACATTAAAAAAGTAAAGAACAATAACTAAATCTTACAATTTAGATGAATCAGAAATCATAAATCTGAATACCATGAATCATAAATTATAAATCAGAGTCGTTAAGGCTGCCTAAAATCAGATTGACACAAATACACGATCGATTTTTTTATAGGATGTGTGAATCAGATAATCACAATCGATATAAAGAAATATTGAAATCAGAAAACTGAAATATTCATGTTTAGCCGGAGAAGATGACCGGAAAGTCTCGTCGGAAATGGCAGTCACCAAAAACCTTTAATAACAAATTATAATGATACTTTTTAAACAACACAAATAAGTTAAATAGTAAATAGTATACAAAAAAAATGACTAAACGTCAAACGACTAAACGTAAACAAAAAACTAAGTTAGTTACTTTGATAACTAATTTCCCCATTCTTTGATAGTTATTATTAAGATAGTACTTGTAAGACTCCAAAGTTGAATAGTTACTATGTTAATAGTTACTTTAAAGGTGAAGTAATTGACTAACAAATTAATCTTCACGTTAAATTTAAATCATGATATAAGTTATTTATAAGTGTCAAATTAAGGTCTATTATAAGGTATTCATTTTTTCATTTCTTTATGTATGTGAGACGGGTATTAGAAAATAGGGAAATCTCCGGAAAAGTCCTAATATTTTACCCTAATTTACGAAAAAGTCCAAAACTAAAATTTGTTTATGAAAAAGTCCCAATTACCGGTAAAAACGACGATTTGGCCCTATTTTCCCGTTTTACCGGTTTCATTAATTATCGGGTTTTAATAAAGTCCCATTATTTTACCATAATTTACGAATAAGTACCAAATTATAGTAAAATAATGGGACTTTAATGAAAATTTTGGTAAAATAATGGGACTTTAATGAAACCGGGTAAGTATTGAAACCGATAAACCGGAAAAAAAGGGTCAAATCGTCATTTTTTCCGGTAATCGGGATTTTTTCGTAAACCAATTTTAGTTTGGGATTTTTTCGTAAATTAGGGTGAAATATTAGGACTTTTCCAAAGATTTCCCTAGAAAATATATGCAAGCATTGAAGTTTTCAAATTTTTTTTTGAGTTCTCTAGTACACAAATTTAAATATTCCATGAGCAATTGGTGAGATATAATTTTTTTATATTGAGACAAGAACACATAATGTATGTCAACCTTTTAAATTGGGGGAGGAATGTCAAATATGCAAGAATAGATATGATTTTGGGATGCTTATATTCTTTGTAAATATATATCATGATAAATAAAAGACTAGCTAACTTGTCCAATATCTCAAATAATAATTATTCTCCTTTTAAAAAAGGTAAAACAACTTTAGATCTTATATGCAATTTAATAAAATATCTAGTCATTAAAAACTAGAAGATAAAGCAAAAAAAGCGATTTGCTAATCGAATTCGTATTCGAAATTTTGGATACGTATTCAAATTTTGGAATTTATGTAAACTAACAAAATAACTAATAGATATGAAACCTTGGATATTCCGAAATTTGAATTGGATTTTTGGATCCGAGTCTTTTCAACATCCGTAAACTGAATATTACTCTATACTAAATAACTATGAAAATGAAAAAGAAAACGTTGAACGTGATCTTGATCTAGCAAACGGATTATTTTATGCGTTTTGGGTTGTTGTGGTATATATGATTCGATATAATAGGGTTGATTAAAGATGTTTCTCTTCAATCAAAAGATTAATATTTTATAAATAAGATAACTTATCACATGTGTGGATCCGATGTTGCCCTCCCTCCTTGAGGTTGAGGGTTCAAGTCCCGTCGTGGACATAGATGAATTTAAGATGTAGTTTAGAAGTAGATTGAATTTGCCGTTTCAAAAAAAAAAATTGTTTGTAATTTTTAATCAAATAAAAGGTAATTATATGAATGAAACATTTCCAAAAAATCCGCATCATGATATAAATTCATATAAAGATCATTAGTTAAAAAAAAACAAATATAATTGTTTATGAAAAACTATACACCTATCATCATTTGAAACTAGTAATCCTGTTATTAATCCAGTTTGTGTAATCCAATGATTGGCTTGGTTTATCTTTGTACTACCTGTTTGGTTGGTTTCTCAATAAACTTCTTCATGCCATATGTGCCGAAATTTGCATATGGTTAATTATCTTTAACTTAAGGTAAACCCTTTCTTTTTCTTTGGAACAAGATATTAAAAGTTAAAACCCTTGATCCTATACTTTTCTTTACGAATTGTGCTCATTATATAGGAGAGGATTAAACCAGATTGAATTGAAAACACTTCCTAGTGCTCTGCTTTATGATGAAAATAAGTATATTCATGTCTTTTATTATATCAACAACAAGTCCTTGCCTCACCTTGTTGAATGGGATATAAAATGTAATTTTTGTTAGTTTTATTGTTTGTATTATATTAGCTTCAATCACATTTCAATACACGCAAAATTCAACATATTATCATCTAATTTTGTACCCTATTCCATAACACACATGGGAAATAAAATAATGGACATCCTTTAAACAGTTAATAATATTGTCCCAATATAAAAAAAATATGCTAATCGTGCTTGTTTGTAAATTGATATGCCTTTAAAGCTCAGTTCTTATCCTTATAGCACTAGCAAGATATATTTTGACACTAAATGTCAAAAGGCCAAAGATATGTAGACCCCATCAAAATGGATATGATTTATTATAATACATTATACTTTTTTCAACGATCAAATCTTTTGTTTGTTGTTGGCTTATAAAAAGGAGTTATCATCCAATAAGTTTTGCCATGTTTTCAAGACCAATAGGATAAGAGCAAACTAAGAAAGGTTTTCAAGGCATTGATTGTTTGCTCTCCCTCAAGGGCTTCTGCTTTTTTCCCCTACAATGTCCTTAATCTTAAGGGTATGTTTAGGGTCATGTCAGAAGCCTTTTGATGGAGAATAAAAAATCAGTATCTTGATTGTGTTATTCAGTTGATGGCTTATAAAAAGTACTTGTCCACTAAGGTTTCATGGTTTTAAGACCAATGGGATAAGAGAAACTAAGAAAGGTTTAAAAGGCAATGATTGTTTGTTCTCCCTCAAGGGCTTCTAATGTTGGTTGTATGATGCCCTTAATTTCAAGTGTATGTCTAGGATCATATAAGAAGCTTCTTGATGGAGAATAAAATTTCATTGTCTTTATTTGTGTTAATGATACAAAAATGAAGATATTTAATGGTTTCTAATTTCATAATTTGGACAGCTACAAATCGATCGCCACCTTCTATGGACTTACTAGCCACTCCAAGTAGCCATGATCCATGTATTATGAACCAACTCATTTTGGCCACCTGTTTTCCACTCCAGTTGGCGATTTTTGGTTGAAATGGCCACGTGGTACGACAACCTGAGGTGGCAGCCAAGTATCTATTTGCCTTTGATGGGTATTCTTTAACTATGAGATTGTAGTTATTTTAAGGCTAGCCTTCCTCCCTCCCTTCATTCTATCTATTTCTTTGAAGACGAAGTTTTGTTTCTACATTTTGTTCTCTTGTAAGTGAGTTGTAACCCCCTTTTGTGTTAATTGGTATATACAAGTTACATGTTAATTGGTATATACAAGTTACATGTTTCACCCTGTTGATATACACAATCACCCTTGATTGTGAAATGATGTTAATACATGTGTCTCTTAAGTTTATTTGTTTGTAATTTATATATTTTATCTTGGTATGTGTTACTTTTATTATTAGACATTGTTATCGTATTTTTGTATTCTAGTTTATTATCCGTTTTGTTGTTGGATTTTATATGTGTTTATAAGACTAAAGCCCATTTGATATACATCTTTCCAGGTCCATACAAATCTTTCTGCCTGAATGGACCAGAAAGACTGTTTGATATGCACAAAAAATGGGTCTTTCCCGGTAAAATATGTCTTTTCCAGAAAGCTTTAAAACCATATCTTTCTGGCTGAATAGACTGGAAAGACAATTGTACCCTAAACATCGTCTCTTTCTTTCTTGGATTATTAATTCCTTTTAAATAATTTTTTTAATTTCTTTTTTATTGGTTTATTATATATTAATAAATATTATTTTTAATATATAATATTTACTTATTAATTAATATTATTTTAGTGGATTATTAATTTCTTTTAAATAATTCTTTTTTATTTTCTTTTTATGCATTAATTCTTTTTTATTGGATTATTATTATATATTAACAAATATTATTTATAAATATAGAATACTTATATATATATATATATATTAATAATTATTACTTTATTGGATTATTAATTTCCTTTAGTTAATTTTTTTAATTCATTTTTATTGGATTAATTTTTTTTTGGACAACACCACCATCATCCTAATATATTTTAAAAAAATTCTTCCATCCCACCACTATCATACATAAACCGGATCAAGAATCATATGTTGAGTTATAAAAAAATTAAATTGCTTGATAGAATAACAACGTAACATTATCTTGAAAAATAAAATAAACTAAAAACAACTTAATCGACATTCTATTTAGATTTTTAAATGATTATTGTGTAATTTTGATTTTGTATGATAATTGGTATGTTTTTATAATTATTCAACAACTTCATCCATCATAGTATATATAACAGTAGGGCCATATTGTCATTTTTTATCATTCAGCACAGTCAATCATATTTACAATCAAACAATATGGTTTCTTTCCCAATCAGAAAACTTTCTCATACAACACTTTCCAGACAACACTTTCCCAAACAGAAACTATCAAACATGACCTAAGTGTTCCATATTGTTTTCGTATGTTTATTGTATAAGTTGAAATATATTTTGATTGTCTTTGGCATTCATTTGGATCATCCATTGGATCCACCCTTGGATCCCCAACATGGAAATGGTGAATATTCAATATTATAAGGCATATTTACAATAACAATAAAAATCCTTTGTAATAAAATCAAATTTGATTGATTTATGTTTTCGGACACAAATGTGTTAAAAGGGTGTTCTGCATACTGCAAATAGTAATGGATCTTTATTTAACAATATATATTATATATGATGTGTAATAATATCAATATTAAACTAGATCTAAAAATTCAAAAAGCTTTTTTAATGTATGAGAAGTGTATTACTTGCCTAAATGTAAGAGTATATTCTCTATTGAAGGCCTAGCATCATTTGACCTATTTGTACATGCCAAGGCCATGCTCCAAACTTTCAAAATCTTTCTTTGATCCTTCCCTTCAAAAGGGAACTCAAAACACTCACATTCTTTAGCTTTAATCTCTTCTTTTCTTTCGAAACACCATTTTACCGACTCAAGTGCCTTTGATCCTCCTAAAATGTCCAACATAATTATTCCAAAGTTGTATATATCATTCTTTTGTGACAAAGGTTCACAACGGAGTATTGGTGATGGTGGTTTTCGTTGACCAGTGTCGGGAACTTCCATTGCAAGTTGGGTAAAACCATAATTTGATAAATAAGCATTAAAATCAACATCTATCATAATGTTGGAGGTTTTAAGGTTGCCATGGATATTCATGATCATGTTTCTATCTCGTGCGGGTGCTTGTGAATGGATGAAACGTATGGCTTTTGCTATGTGCAAGATTATCTTTAGCCTTTGCTTCCACGTTAGTGGGGTGTGGTCATGTTCTCTCGCGCCTATAATAATGGAGCCCATGTGAAATTGTCAATGCGTTTATATGACCATTAATTAAGCATATAATAGAAGAAAACACAATTTCTTTTCATGTGTTAACATAAGAGTCCTTGTTAAGGAATCATTGTGTAGATTTTCGGATTAGAACTTGCAATATCTAAGATTTTAGTAAGTGTTTTTTAGGATTTAATGTGTATTTTTCCAACAAAGGTTAACTTTTTTTCTTTCTTTCTTTCTTTCTTTCTGTCTATGCAACAAAGTATGTTCTTATATGTACAAAATATGCAAGGATATTCTATTATGGGACTAAGGCTATGTGTTTGACGGACTGACCAAGCTAGCTAATAGCTTAAAAGTTAAATATTAAGCTGAGAAATCTCATAAAAAATGACGTGTGGGCTAACTAGTTCTTGATTGGTGTATTTTTTTTTTCTTAAAACATTTTTGTATATTTGGCTTACAAAACCATGTGTTGCATATATCAACGAAAATGAAGAAATTTATGTATAAATGCATATTTAATTATATAATAAACGATTGTAGTTACAATTACTATTGGTTGTTTGTGATGAGATAAAAAGAACATACCTGTAAGTAGATCGTATAGACTACCCATCGGGTAGTAGTCACAAACAACAAACTTGAACCTCTTAGAATAAAGATAGGCTTTCATTTGAACAAGATAATCACAACGTCGTCCGATTGCTGCCAATCGAGATACACGTCGCCCAAACTCCCTCCTTCTTACACAAACCATTCTAAACCTTTTCAACACGTTATATGTACCATCCAAAAACACAACTTTCTCTATCAAACCTAACGATGTCTCTCCAACAACCCCAACAGATGCCCCCATCAGATCTTTCAATCTCCACTTATACCTACAATCTTCATCTGTTACATCACTATCACACGGCACAAGTGGCTCATTTTCCATGCAACCAATGAAGATCTCATCGTATTCACATAACGAGAGCGATGATCGGCAACTTCCTTCATTATACCTAACAAGGAAAAAAAGAAAATAATGATAAATTGCAAAATGATTGATGAAAATTATCTAATCAAGAGATGAAATCAAGAAACCTAGAGGTTCTTTTGGACTTCGTGTTTAAAGCTCTCGACAACATTGCTGCCTTGTTTGAAAGAAACTAGGATGTGTGTGGTGACCCCTTTTGTATAAAGATTTGGATCTTTTAATTGGTTTCATTTTAATAAAATATTTAGTTTCTTGAATTTATCAAATTCTTTGTTGTCTATTGAAATTATTAATTATTCATAAACGTCCAAAAATTAGAATATGCAGTTGAATCTAACAATTTTTATATATTCATATTTTGAGTAATTATTTTCCTAAAATTTTATAAAAAATTGTGATTAGTCTATATATATTTTTTTATATATTAAAAGAGTTCAAGAAATAAAAACTAAATTACACAAATGGTACATATGGTTTCATATGAGAATGTTTTTGTGCACCGGATGATCCCATAGTTTGAAATTTTTTCGCAATAAGTCCTTATAACTGATGTCGTTAGCAAATAAATGTTAAGTATTTGAGGCATAACAAATACTATCATTTTTGTTTTCCTTTTCTTTTTTTTTCTTCTGTTTTTTTAATGATTTATAATTTTAAAAAAATAGACCTCTCTCTCTCTCTCTCTCACACACACATTGCCCCTTTACTTTCTTCTTCTCTATTTTGATCAATCAATGTTATGAAAATCGTTCGACGGTAGTTCTGCGGTCGACTGACGTTAAACGATTAATTGGAATAGACAGGGATTAATCGGAGACCCTAAATTATTAATAAAATTATGTAAAAAACTAATATATCCTAAAAAAATAAGTATTTGAAAATTTAAAAATTTAAAATTTTGAAAATTTGAAAGCTTTATGAAAGAACCCCTTTCTTGACTTTCATATTTCTGAAAGACCCAAACTTTCATACTTGACAATATAGTTACTCCAAAACATGCTACATGCATATTTATAAAACATTATCTTACATTGATAAAGTGATTACAAAAGATTGGATACAAACCGACTATGTTTTAAGATTTTACATAACTACCAAGAATATTGTAATTTTATACAAACATAAACTGAAGTACAAAAGTACTATTACAAACTATTCTAAGTCTTCCAACTATACTGGGTGCTTATTGCCTGCATTATGTTAAAACATTGGGAGGGGTAAGCGATAACGCTTAGTGAGTTCAATAATAGATACAATATAATGTTATGCCATATATATACTTCAATATGACAGAGGCAAAAAGGATCAAGGAACAACAAAGGCATAATGCTAAAAGCTTTCCATATCAATCAATGAGACATAACAATTTCCATACTTGATATAAAATCAATAAAGTTTCAGCACAAATGGCACAGAAAATACTCAGGAATATTATTTTGCTAGAATATTTAGGCTTTCAGCCTTATCTTAGCATACTACCGAAGCCAAAGTGATGCCTATGTCATACACTTCATGGTCAACGGTTCATACCAATACCCAAGTGATGCCTATGTCATACACTTCAAGTCAGAGGTACAGCCTTGCTATAAAAATAGCGGAAACAACAACTCGAGATGATAACATGGAAAAGCACATAGAACATATAACACATAACATACAATTGTTCCTATGTATTAAACTCACCGTGAAATAACCGGGGGTCAAAATAGTAATTTGGGCAGCACTTCGGCTCTAAATATGACTTTCTTCGTTGAAAACCGGGAGTTTTCTTGAAAACCGGGCTCTGCGAAGGTAGAGCTTCGAAACCGAAAAGATAAATTTTTCGGGCTTCTCGGGAATCTCGGGGCGCGTTTCGGGCTTTGGAATAAGTACCGGGGCTTCGGGGGAAGTCGGAATGTAAGAAAATGTTGAAAAAGGGTGAAAAAGGACAAATTTCAAACATCTAACCGGGAGGTCTCGCACCCCTTATATAGGTGCGAGCCTCGGATCCGAAGCGAAGGGAGGAGGGCACGTGAATGCGAGGTTCGGACCAGGTGGCAGCAGGGCGAGGCTCGGACGGACAGGTGCTCGCTTTGCATTGGTCGGATGACGCGGCTTCTGGCTTCGGATCGGGTCGGCTGCATCGGTCGAATCAGGAGCCAACACGCGGGTCGGATCACGTGGGGCACATGCGAGATCACGTGGCTTATTCGGACACCTGTGCGACACGCGTCGCTTCTCGGATATGCCACGCATCAGCTTCGGACACGTGGCCATCTCCGAGCGAGGGTGACGTGGCAATCACTATTCATGCGAAATTTCTCGAAAAATGTGCCCAATCTTGTAAAATCCATAACTTTCTCATACGGGCTCCGTTTTTTTGACGTTCTTTACATGCACGAGTAGAGAAAATTATGCTCTACAACTTTTGTTTAGACTTCGTCGGAAAATTTTGACTTTATTTTTATATTATTATTTTTAACAGACCGGGACTGGTAAATCCGTTAAAAATTCATAATTTCTTCATCCGACGTCCGTTTTCGTCAGACTTTTTACCGTTGTACTACTAATGACGAGACCTTCGATTCTCGTTTAGGTTGTGTCGGCTAAAAATCACTCGATCTAAAATTCGAGTTTTTAGCTGTCTACTGCTAAGCTGAAACTTGTAAAAATCATAACTTCCTCATACGAAGTCAGATTTTGGCGTTCTTTTTATCGAACTTCTCGGTTTAACGAATACTACGACTTTCATTTAGATCACTAAGGCTAAAAAGTAGTTTATCAAAAACTCACTTTTTACGTCATTCGGCACCGTGCCGGTTTTATCGCGGATCTTCGATTGGTCATAACTTCTTCGTTATAACTCGGATTTCGACGAGGTTTTCGCCTACATGTTTCTAACTAAATTATCTACAACTTTAAATAATAGAATTTTACTTATTTCAAATTTTATATTTTCGCTAAATTTCACTATTTGGCTTTTAATTGGAATCTAATAAGACTTCCAATATTTTATGAGTGATTCTAAACATAGTTTTACTTTATTTCTAGTAAAAACTATCTGTTAGAACTCAATACTCAATTTCTCATAATATTTCATAATATTATTAACTTATTAATTTACATAACACGATTTCAAAACGTGTATGTTACAAATACCTCCTCATTTTGAGGATTTCGTCCCCGAAATCACAACGATTTAGACAAATGAGGATATGTCGCTCTTATCTCATTCTTATTTTCCCTAGGTATAATTTGAATCTTATCAGTGGTGTCTTGAACCATTTCAGGACCACCAAGGATTTTCTGTCCTACATTATGCTAACATAATGGTGTTCACAGTTACTACCGAACTCTAAGACACATGCACGAAGCATATCTTCTACTGTTTGGATTGTTCTCTCTGTCTAACCATCTGTCTGGGGATGATAAGCTGTGTTGGGAGCAACTCGAGATCCCAATTCACTTTTCATACTTGCCCAAAAGTGAGAAGTGAAACGAGTATCACGATCGGAAATAATCTTTAGTGGCACTCCATGTCTCGCCACAATTTCGTCTAAGTAAACTTGTGCGTATTTCTCCATTAGAACCGTTGTACGTATACCGAGAAAAATATGCACTCTTAATCAACCGGTCGATAATTATCCAAAGGCTATCATTCACAGTTTTCTTCTCCTCTTTCAAGGTATTAACTATATAAGCCGGATAAGTAGAATATCCCTTCGATATAAATTTACGAGTTTTTAAGAAAGAAATTTATTATTTTCACCGTAGACATAAAAGAATCCTTCCTTTCGATAGGGATGCATATCATCTCTTCGTAGCACAAGAGATCTGCGTAGTTCTTTGACAATCGATTCATGTCGAGAATAATATCAAAGTTGGGAAAGAAGATAGGAATTAGGTTAGCAGGAAGATTATAACTTTCAATTCCTATGACACTATTTCTGTAGACTTTGTCAGCAAGTAATGATATATTTCCTATGTTATCTATATGAAATGATTGGACAATTGCGTAACAAGCAATTTGAAAAGAATGTGCGAATTTATAAGGCACGAAAGAATCTGAGGCATCACAATCAAATAAGATGTGAGCAGATCTAAAGTTTATGAGAAATTACTAGTCACAACATTCGAGTCCTAACTTACTTCTCTTGTGGTAATCTAAAATGTACGATATTTAACTTTTGGTTTGCCAAAAGATTGTCAAACTCTTCAAACTTCTTAATTACTAGCGGCGCTCAAACCTGCACCCGCTCATCATTCTCTATTGGGCCTTCGATCCAAATCTTTGAGTTAAAACTCAATTCTCATTGCAGACTCCTGCTCCTTCTTGGTTTATAGACTAAACCCAAGATAACGCCTTTACTTTTGCTATAACAACAACTCGTATGGTCTTATTCTAATGACCTTTGATTTTTATAATGCACAAGACACATAACGAACCAAACTCTTGTATTAGAATCAGATCGAATAAATCAAGCTGATGGAATAAAGAAAATGAAAAGAGTTTGATCAACACGTGGATGCTTTGGAACAGAAAGAATAGCACCACGTATCTCTAATTCGTGCTTTCGGACATATACATCTTTTAGCTTTTGGCACCTCCTCCTTTTTAGTTGGAGTATTCTTTGATGGTTGATCGGAAACTTGACTCCCCGCTATTTGACTAGTAAGAGTAGGGCGGAAACATTTCTTGTGGCCAGTAACACCAGATAGCAAGTCACATCTCTGGCTAATGATTGCTCAATCCTTTAATGAAGATTGTTATATTTCTATCGACTACCTCGACCATTTACTTCTTCAGTATTCCTACTGAAGTTTTGTCACTATATAAGACATGGTTCTCTGAACCAATCAACTCCTTTCGCGGATTTATACTAATCGGACTCGATTCTTTATGACATTAAGATTTGAACGATAATTATCTTCTTCGTCATTAACGAAACGAAGGTAACGACACACATGAATAAAATGGAATCATTTACTAGCTTCTTGGTAACCTTGTGACTTTGCCTGATCCAAGTGTGAGTCATGTGCTTCCAGTAGTATAGGCCTCTACTACTATTCACACCTACTCATACTCGTCCCAAGTATTGTCTCGCAGTTCCCAAGTCACCATTCAAAAATTTTCACAAAGCAATTTTTCACACCTAAGTGTGTTCAAACAAG